ACCGTTGTATACTTGTACTATCAAAATTGTTGATTCAATGTTTTATTTACTTGTAAACTAAGTTCAGAACATGGCCTTGTCATACAGGCCCCATCTCCTCATCATCATCAGCGCTACCCTCAAGCTCATCCTCCTCATCATCTACAGGATCAAGTCCTTCTAAGCCACATTCCAATACGACACATTGATATTGAGCCCACATCGCCTCAGCGATGCGATCACGCATTTCGGTGCCTCAACGAAAGTCACCCTCGTTGTCTTCTTCGATAGCAACAGCCTCCTCGTCAGCAGCTACGTCAAGGTCAGGGTCCTCCTCCAAAACTCTGTCTCCATCTCCATCGTCGACAGGGGGAGTACCCTTGCTAGGGTCATGCACACGAATGTAGTTGTGGATTGCGCAAAGAGCGGCTGGTATTTGGGCCTGGACCTCCATAGCGTAGCCAGGCGAAAGAAGAAGTATGCGGAAGCGTTGTTTGAGGACACCGAAGATGCGCTCGATGACATTCCGTGCTGATGCGTGTCGCAAATTGAATAGTTCTTCCTTGGTTTCTGGCCTGTAAAACTTAGAACAATGTTTGCAAAATAATTGAGAGCTTACCTTATGTTTGCGCGACCCCATTCAGCAAGGTGATAATGCACGTTTCGGTAAGGCACGAGTAGCCCAGGGCGCAGAGGATACCCCGCATCTGCAAGGAAATATTTCCCTGGGGGAGTCTTAAAGTCATGAGTGCAGGCATCCTCATAGACACGTGCATCTGTTGCTGAGCCTTCCCATCCTGTGAGCATGTACGTGAAGCTAAGATCGAAATCGCACGCAAAGAGACAGTTTTGCGAGACAAACCCCTTCCGATTACGATAAACAGGACGTTCAACAGCCTTGGGCGTGACGTGGATGTGGCTCCCATCAAGTGCCCCAATAGCGTCCTTGAAAAACGGCCACCATTTCGGATTCTTGCGGATTTTGGGGGGAATTGAATTGTCCGGAAAACATATGTATTTTGAATAGAATGGGTCGGTTGTGAAGATGACAAGCATCTTGCGGAAATAACTATGTACTATTAGATATTACCTCCCCCCCAAAAAAAAAACACTCACTGTGAAATCGTTTCATTTGAGCGTTGGAACCTCTCTGCAAGATGCCTGATTGACAGGCCGGTGTAGAAACAACAATACCGAGAGGAACAAATGATGCTCCAGACTGTATCTGTAAATGTTGTAAGGTCGCGCATTGCCTAGTCTGCTATACCTGAGACAACAAGTGCGTTCGACCCTAAAGGGGAAGCGAGTGCAGCAAGGATCTGGTAGTAGGCGCTGAAGGTGCTACTGGTCGGCCAATGCGAAGCACGAGAAAGTGCGCAGGTGCGCGTGAGGCGTGGGAAGCGCACGCGCACGTGAGCAGAAACAAGTGATAGTAAGAGTGAGTTTGCTTAAGTGGTGATTAGATACTAGACAAGAGATACGAGCGCGAGGTGTCAAAGAATAGATTTCTACTATGTTCAGCTAGGTAGTAAGTGGGTAAGTGGGAGGTCAAGTAATTATCTCCTGGTAGGTAATGCTGGCGCTTATATGGTGCCTAAGCGCTGTCATGCGGAGCCGAATCGCTACCGAGTAAGGTATGTAAAGATATATGTATGTAAGTAAGGGTCCATGATATAAATAAAGGTGGAATGATATGTAAATAAGGGAAATGGAAATACATGCACTAGAGAGCTTGGTGGACAGTGGGTGGATGCTTCCGGAAGGCTGGCGCTATAGGGCGATCAAGCGCGGGAAAGCGCGCGCGCGTATACATCGTAAAGCGCGGGAATGGTGCGCGCGTTGCGCGGGAAAGCTGCGCCTCATATAGGGATAGCTGCAGATAGCACACAGAATGGTGCTGCAAGTTCGTGCAATGAACTCCCTAGTGAAAAGTGCCATATCACACCATGAGAGGCATGAGTCTCTACACCAGTGACGGAGGCATACAGAAATATTGCCAGCTGTTCCTCGAGCGAGACATACTTAGAGTCCGAATGACCCATGCTCCGAAGCTCGTCGATAAGCTCAGAAAAGGCACTGGCATGCATGCCGAGCTCGCACCTGATGCGTTCAGGGTGACCGGTGAGGAGCTCGATGACCCAGTCCTGTCCAGACAGTGCCGATGTGTGATAAGGCTCCGGATCTCTTGGATATAAGGTCTGCACTGTGCTATGCGCTGCAGTAACAAGAATACTAAATATTAACGCTGAAAATTTCAAGAGTCGCTCCCAGACCTCTGGTCGAGGATTCGTTAGGAGTGTAGCTAGGTGCTGTGGATCCATTGGCTGAAGCTCATCCATGCCTACTAGTCACTACGATAAGCGGGAGCTGCAAGATTTAAGCTCCGATATCTCGGATTCACGATGCCGATGAATTTGGTGTCAACATTGACAATCAAATGTTGGCTGCAGGGAGTATCTGAACTGGCTCTTACATAGCTGACCAAAGTAATCCGAATGTGTATTGAAAAATCGAGTGACTTAATAAGTTTACTTACCTGCAATTAGCATATTTCAAGGGGAAAGGGACTCGGGGACTGGCCAGTGCTAGTGCTGCCGTGGTCCGGTTCGGTCCGGTTCAGAGGGTCATAGAGGAGAACCAAGAACCGGACCATTGGTTCGGTTCTATGAAATGTCCGAACCCAGAACCGGACCACAGAGAACGGTTCTCTATGGTCCAGTTCGGTTTTTTTGGGGTCCGAACCCAAACCGGACCCAAAAATTCAGTAGGGAGCGCAGGTAGAAGTTCGAGAGTTTTCTCCTGCATCTACGAAGGTGGGTAGAGACCCTATGGTAATATCTTTGAGTCGAGTCGTGTGCACGTTAAATATGAATGATCTGTCAGGATAAGCAGCGGTCAATTTGCAAGATATCATTTCGAGTGTAACAAGCACAAGGCATTAACACAGAATACGAGTAATGAGGGAGACAGTAGGTGCTGATAAACTGCTCTGTGTGTGTGTGAACGTGTAGTGAGTACAAGGCGAGACCGGAGTAGATGATGTGCTCAATGGCAGGGTGCAAAGTTAGGAAGTTGGTCAAATATGACTTATCACAGCTTCAAAACGAGCTTTCCCGCTCGTAACCTTCATCTCAGTCCAACGGGTTTCGACGTTTGAAGTTAGGGTCCAGAACTGTTGCAAGAAAATACGGTCCAAAGCGCCACCCGCAAGCGTTTGCGCCATCGTGGAAGTGGTGAATGGTGGTGTCTGGGAGTGTGCAAAGACGCAGGTAACATGGCAGGCACTTGTTGTTGTGCCGCAGTCGATGGTCTCAATACCAAGCGACATCAAGAAGTAGGAGGGCATGAAAGATGGGGCGTGGCATGAGAACAGGTGGGAGAGAGTTAGCACGAGAGAATGGGCACAAGAGGACAGGTACGAGAGAGTAAGCATGAGAAAACGGGCGCAAGATAGCGAGCACAAGCAAACTTGGTCTTTGTCGGCGCGTTGATTTTAGGGGTGGAGGCGGTGGTTTCGCAGGAGTGGGACGATGGGCTTGCGGGAGGAGTTGCACAACGAGACGTGTGGTCTGATTCATCAGTTTGAACAGTGCATATCATGACTTACCTTGTCAATGGGCCTCTGCATTTGATGGAAACAAGTAAATCTTGAAGCTTAAGAATCCCTGAGGCCAAAGTGGATCATCAAAGGAAGGTGTCAAGGCGTGCTTCAACAATGTGGCAAGCTTCTTTCGGTTCGCGGTTCGGAACGGTTCGGGGCCGGTCCGAACCAAAGTCGAACCGTCCGCCCAATGGCAGAACCGAGAACCGTACTATGGTCCGGTTCTGGCTGACACCTGGACCGTGGACCGAACCACAGGAGAACCGGACCAAAAGTCCAGTTCGAACCATGGTTCAGGACCGGACCACGGCAGCACTAGCCAGTGCGCAGCACCGTTGCGATGAAGAGGTCATTTCAACATATATCAAATAACATGTACTCCCAAACTGTTTATACAATTGAGCCTCCACCAGTTGGTGCTATCGCGAGACATATTGTAAGAACAGAGTGATTTTCCAATTGGTGTCAACGCCATGCGCACCACTTGAGCCTGATCCGATCATCTATCTATCTAAGAAGTAAAGTGCGATGGTTGCGGGAACTACGACTGACGAGAATCCGCAGAGTCTTATTTTAGTTCGGACGGCTTAAAAGAAGCAGAGCACACTGAATTGAACGGACCAGAGAACTCGCCTGATTATCCCGCGATGTTGACTCACCCTGGAGTACCTCCTCCGAATCGCCTAGATCTGAAACCAAATTGCATTTGCGCCGTTCAACGGAACATCTCAGACTTCTCTATACACACGAAAGCCGCTACATCCCACGCATCAACTTCTCACACCGTGCGTCGTGGACAGTAAGCCGAAGGCAATTTCCGCTGCGCGCTGCGTATGCAACCACATTCAATGGTTGCCAAGGACTCACGCTGGTGCGCACAGCACTTGACCTGCGGACAGATCCGTTTGCTCACGGCCAATTATATACGGCGTTGTCCAGGGTGAGGACGCGAAGGGAAACACTGTGTTTGTTTGCAGAGACAAAAGAAGAGCAGGACTGCGTGAATATCGTGTTTCCTCACCTGCTACTGTAAATACAATTTGTCGTCGAAAAGAAGACCGAAGGCGTGTCCTTGTTATACATTATAATTGAGGACGCAGCGCATTGCAATGTAGGACAGGAGTGCATTTTCCACCAAATAATTTGGCAATAAGACTTGGAGTTTTTTCGACCGTAGCACCACAAATCCCATATTTACTACTGCCGTAGCGGGGACGTCATTTAGTAACTAACGCCCGCCCGCTAGCATAGTAGGTAATACTACCGCTCATTGAACGTCTGTCGTGCATTGCTATGACTGGTAGAACGGCGGTTGCTAATGACTTATATTACCTGGACAGCGAGTCATGGTAGGACAGATACTAGGAACAATACAAAACCTCCTCCCCACTAAATTGGAATTGGAAGCCGAGGCTTCTTGATCGAAACAAAAGTGAAAGTCCGCAATGTGTCCAGGGTCCGGCTCTGTCACGAATCTTGCATCCCTACAGCAATTTGAACATTATTAAATTGTCGAATCGACTCGGGACACGTATTATGCTTCGACTTCTTTGGACAAATACCATTGAGCAGTTTCATCACCAGTACTATCATATGTCCAGAATGTCCACTTCGGTGGAGTATAAAACAGACAGTACCAACAATTGATTGCCAACAACCTCTCTACAAGTGAAATCAACTCACCATCATGTTTATCCACCTCTCTACTGCTTTCGTTGTTCTCCTCGGCCTGACGGCCCTTGTCAACGCTGGAGTGCCAGTAAGCCTCGCATCACGTCAAATCTTATCATATTGTTATACAATGTCTGCAGGCTGCTCGCCACGCTGCTCCCATTGACAAGCGTAGCACTGTCGTGACGACCCGAGTAAGCCTGGCTTCGCGTCAGATCTCACCTTGAGCTTACAATGTGCATAGACCAATTATTTAGCACTTGCGCGCGTAAGCCTTGCTTCGCACCAAACATGTAAAACTCACCATAAGATATACGCAGGAAGAATCTCCAGAACCGGACCCAGGCAAGAAGCCAGTAGTAACTGGGCGTGTAAGCTTTATTTCACACCAAATCTGATCATGTCAAACTCACCATACAATGTATGCAGGAAGAGTCCCCAGAACCGGACCCAGGAAAGAAGCCAGTAGTAACTGGGCGTGTAAGCTTTATTTCACACCAAATAGGCTGATCATGTTAAACTCACCATACGATGTATGCAGGAGGAGTCTCCAGAACCGGACCCAGGCAAGAAGCCAGTAGTAATTGGGCGTGTGAGCTTTATTTCACACTAAATTTGATCATGTCAAACTCATCATACAATGTATGCAGGAAGAGTCTCCAGAGCCGGACCCAGGCAAGAAGCCAGTAGCAGTGAGCCTTGTTTTACACCGAATCTCATCATGTCAAACTCACCATTTGATGTACGCAGGGACTCTGAACCTCAGGCTATGATGCTAGTAAGACTCGTTTCGCGTGTTGACTCACGAAACACTGTACACAAGGCAACTACTATGCAGAATCAGAGCTTTATGCAGAACAAGTTACCTTGAAGGAATGTTAAGTAGAATAGTGCTCAATGAGGTTGAAATGTGAGGTGTATTACCGATTGCATGACTGTATGGAAAGCAGCACTATCGCACGATGCTTTGTTTGTGAGCAAAAATTCTACCTATACAAGGCAGGAGCTTCTGACTGAGTCTGAACATACTTGGTGACTGCCATTTCGACCGCAACTCCCGTCTTCAGCGCTCAGCTTCAAGTACTCCAGCTTGGGGGAATTTCTTTCAAACTTTAATTCAGATATCTTTGCCATTGATCCAAGACATCACACAAAGTTTCAGCGCTTCAGCACTCGACACTCTGAATCGCACAGCAGATACCTGAAAATCAAACGATATTTAACTCATGATCATTCAAAACCATGATGGAGAATTCTATCTATGCCAATGAGGCCTAAAAGTGCCTGTGACAGTTCGAATTTACATACAGTTATATTCAATAGTCTCGTCATCTAGTGCGTTCGTTCTCGTTCCATGTCAGTACTGGTATACAGGGTGCTCGCAATTGTAGAATGAAAGTGACAAAAGAATTATACGAGAGTTGCCGGAAATGCTAACAGAGGCCTGTCTGTCGGACCAAGCTACCCACATGCTGTATATACAACAGCACGGAGCCCCTCGCTCATGATCAACCAATACCAAACCACGGACGATATGTTATAGCTGTAAGAAGTGCTTCAGGACTAGATTCGTGAGGCTTGCGCAGGAACTGACCTCAAACATCAATGTAAGGGAAAACCTTCCTCAGATCAGTGCAAGAGTGCTAGACGCGTCTACCTCTTCATGTTCTGCTCCCAACCAAAGCTCCCAAGAGCAGCGAGAGGGTGCTAGACCTCTTAGGTCTACTTCTTCATGTTCCAAACCCTCCCAAAGCTCCCCGGAGCGGCGAGAGGGTACTGCAGGAATAGTAACACCGAAGATAGAGGATGCGAGAGCGAGAGCGAGAGCAACCATGAAGCGAGGCAAGGTCAACATATTACTAGTGAGATTGAATGAGACAGACGTGTTTATATAGACGATGTTGGGACACACAGAGAAACTATGAGAAAAGGACTGCGTGGAGTCTTGATCCAATTTATACGGTATGTTATTTCCCTTGAATATGCACTGCATGAGGCTGGTGTGAAAACTAGGCTCATTATCCAGCAGTGATCACTCCTTGGCGACACCGCGAGTCGGTATTAAGGAGCGTCAGCGTCTCCAATGTTTCGAACCGTCTCAATTCCGGGGGGTGAATAGGCCGAATAGGCGGAGAGGTCCTACCAAGTGCAGAAACCATGTTTATTTTTTGATACAGCAACTTTGGGCGTCGCAAAGGGAGGTATCGGCTCACGTCCAAGTATGGTTCATGATAGCCTGCCACGCAAGAGAGTTTAGGTGGACTACGAGCATCCTATGTTTAGTTTACCATGAGTGAGTGACCGGTGCTGATGCCTGAAAGTTAGTGGTAGTAATTGCAACGACCACGAGCTGAAAATAAAAATAGAGAACTGTACTCGCCTCTCATTCGATACTGCAACAAAAATTCTCCCGGATGCGTGCAGCCCATCCTTGGAGTCGTTTTCAGTATCAGTGGTCAGCAGGGACAACTGTCTCCCATCACTCTCATCTTCTTAGGAGAAACCAAGAGTTGACCCTCTCGCTGTAGGATGAGCATGATGAACCACTTGAGCTTGATCCATATTGATTATAATACATATTGCCTCCCTCCAGATAAACGAAGGTCAATCTGTCAGTTATTCTCTATTGTCGAGAAACCAACATCTATGCTCGCCCTCATGTGATCGCCATAACGAATTGTCAAGAAGATCATCCTACGAAAGAAAAGTTGAAGCATTACTATGTCAGTATCACCGGTCTTGTGGTCAAAAAGTCCCTCACCCTTGTCCAATGATCGCCAAAACAGCCGCGATGATATTCGTCCACGCAACACCTATACGCTCGATCGATGGAACGATAATAGTAGAGGCAGCAGACAGAATGAGCGACCAGCTCGCTCTAACAGGTACATGGACGCGTTCAGGTTTGATAGTCACGCAATATCATAGAGACTGACATGCAAGCAGCTGTGGCCTCAGCACTTCGAGAATGCATCACGTCCACGTTATAAGAGTTGATAGGATTCGTTACTGAATCGACCTATAAAATCGGTGAATTGCATTATGTGCGAAGTGAGGGGACCAGCTGGCAGGACTTACTCCCACTCCATTCGCATAGAGGCATAATATATTCAGCGCGAGGCCGATCGGGCCCCCAATATACGTTGTGATCAGCCCTGACGCCCCAATAGACAACGGGACAATGATCAGCCCTCCGATCCATGTTGCTCTCAAACGATCTTCGGGACACCACGCTCCTCTGCGCTTCTTCCGCCATCTTCTGATTACAATGTCCGATAGGCGGCCAGCAATCAGAGTTCCGGCTGTTAAATATTGTGTTGGTGCACCACGAGTACAATGCTCTACACATACTGAAACTTCCCAGTCCATTTGGGAGGAAAAACGCCCCGATAATGGCTTCGTTCGTGATTCCATACTGGACGCCCTACACCGCGATCAGGACAGGATGCGAGATGGAAGACAATTGTAATTGTCAGCTTACAATTGTATACGCCATCGGTACGACGAGAACTGCATTGTTTTAAGTGAGAATGCACTGCACAATCAGCAATAAGTAACGACACACCATACATAGTGTTGATCATTAGAGCTGACGCGAGCATCTACATCTCACACAAATTGAGAGTTTGCACTAGCGCATGGTAAATGCACTCACAACTGCAAATAGGTTTGGACTACGAAGCAACCACAGAGTGCTCAGAGGATTAATCCACACGATATGGATCGATCTCCTGGACGGCAGTTTATCGATGCCCAATGTGCCGGGATGACTCGTCTCAGGCAACGAAAGGTATATGAAAAGCATCTCGAGTAATCCCCATGCACCAATGGAATAATGCAAATTGCGCCAGGACCAATACTGTGTCGCCGCACCTGTTCAAATGCGTCGCTAGAGTCAGCGGCCAAAAACATCCAGAATGCACTTACCTCCAACAAACGGGGCAACAGCGTACCCGATAAGTGTGATCTGAGACAGCGATGTCAGTACCAAACTGAAAAAACCCATTCAAACATCGTGATCCCTCACACTAAAGAATGCCCCGATAGCAGTCCCCCTCTCCTCCAATTTATAGAGGTCACCAATTACACCAATCCCCAACGATAACGCCCCAGAGCATCCAAACATCTGCACGAATCGCCAGAATAACAGACTCTGCAATGAAGCCGACAGGGCAATGCCACAGCTCCCAACGCAGAGAAACGGCATTCCCCACAGGTATATTGTTCGGCGTCCGTCTGTGCTAGGACTGGGGTTAGAACCCAACAGCTACCACGAGTACAATACACGCCGTGGATGCACGCACAGAAAGACGAATAAGGAGCCCAGATCAACGCTCCAATGGCATTAGCAAAGATCGATATGCTAAAAGCCAAGCTGGGAAATAGATCAATCACTACACATCGGATGAGCATACAACACACACCTGACGACAGCATCCGTTAAGTCGAGATCTTTAGCTATCCGAGGGATCGAAGGCACGAATGTCACTTGGATGAACACTGACCAATGTTCATCAGTATCACGCCTCTGGGTCAACAGTACGCTTAAACTCCCAGTACTCACTAGCCAACAAACCCACAAAGGACACGTGAAACAGGATCCACCTCTTTCGGTCTGGCGCGAATCGGTGATAAATAGCTTCATGCGGGGTGGGCACCAGCATAGGGCTTTCCTCTGAAGCCATCGTGAGTCGTGAGCTGACTCCCTGAGAAGGATCAGTTGCCTACCTGCCGGCCAGATATCACGAGCCAAGACCATAACCGATATGATATTGCCGATATATGTGGCGCCGGCCTACCTATTGCATGTTACTGATTAGTACACGTGTTTGAGCGAGTACATCATCATCATTCTGGCTGCAACATTCTAGATTCTTACCGTAAACCATTATCAGCAACAAGACCTCGATATGCGAGAAGAGAGAGAGACAAGTGAGGAGGGGGAAACAAAATTTCTCTGACTCTTTAACTCCAACACCCTCTCCTTCGCACCCTGCCTCTCTTTAGACTTCTCTTCTACCTTCAATCCCACCTCCCATTCTTGACCGGTCGACCAGCTGCAGTTGTCTTCTGGTTTAAATCGGAGTAGTTGGTTATGATTCACCATTAGTAGGAGAGAGAATGGTCTTAGTTTCGTGGGAATCTAGGTCAGCTCAGACTCAGCTGGTCGTCATGCGTCGGTAACCCTATACCTGAGCAATTCTGCCTCAGCGGTCTTGAGATCTCTCTGTGTGTTCTCTGAGAGACTGAGGTGCGCTTGAGTCTGTGCGCTGAGTGGCGAGTGGTTGTATATCATACTTCAAGCAGCAGTTTATGAATCAAGTCTTCACGATCGTAAGTCAACTGTCATCATGCCTCTCAGCCGAGGTACAAATACTTACCACAGATGTGGCCGCCACATCTTTAGCATTTGCACTCACGCAAAAGTTCGTCCTCAAGGCCATCTCGTTTCAGCAGATCTAATTGTTTTGTCCGTTTCATTATGTCTCGAGCTGAAAGCTTAGTGTGGTCATTCGGAGTGCGATCAAGGTACAATGGTATGTAAGGTATGTGCTCCTGGCAGTATGAATTCTGTCACGCAAGGTGATGCAACATATGCATGCGCCACGTCATGTACATGTGCATAAAACAGTTTACTGGATAATAAATAGATATGTAGATTTCGAAGTTTGGCTCGCTTGATTAACGATCTCAGGAGGAACGTTTGCCCACTGGTCAGACACGTCAAGAACGTCCGACCAAGTTCACAATGTGTGCTCCAAAATCCACGGTTCAGACAGAGTGAAGTTGCTCCTTATGAACAACCTGCGAGAAAATCTCCAAAGCTGCTTGGGGTTGGAAGGCAGCCTAACAATGACATAACAAGGATCAGCAGATATCTTCATTCTCAGGAGAGTTAACTAACCACTTCGTGTCCAGCACCAAACACCCGTCTAAAACGTAAAATAATGAGGTATGTCTCTTGTTAACAAGCTGAGATGAAAAATGACTTACGCAAAAGAGAAGTTGTCGACGTTCTGCACAGCCGCAACAGGCTTGCCGTCGATCGTCATATTGGTGAGTGGGGTATTGTGGAGCGTCTCATTGCCATACCAATCCATCGCTAGAACTGATGCGTGGCCCTATTGGCGAAAATAATTCAGCGAAGTTGGCAGAAAAATATGTGACGACCTACCCCAAGCCAGTTGCAACTACAGTCAATGAGAAGCGTCAGGATCATATGAAAAGTCAACACAACACAAAAACGGACTTCATATCAGCATCTCCAGCCTGTTCCCTGGTAAATTAGCAGATAACGAGGCAGTCACTAAGCACGCACCCAAATCAAAATTTTCATCCTAGAGTTGACCAGAGCCGATAGCTGTGGTAGCCATGTTCTAGCGTCCTTTAACAGGAAGCTAAATTTAGCACTCGAGGAAAGAATAAAAAACACATACGTCGCCTGTCTTTACAAACTTCTCATAGGGTGCATCTGGGCATTCCTCGTATTTGACCTGAGCACCGATCTTTTTCATAACATCCTGTTTGCGTAGATAATCCACATAGTATTCAGGGGGGAACAAAGCAGATGAATTTTGACGGATATCATAGCTGTCGTAATCGCCCGCAGCAGGGGTGAAGACATTGTCAATCTGAAACAGTTTGGTGACGTCCATACATATAGCATTGATATGTTACTCACGCAGTAATTATCGGCGTCCCGGCAAATCTTGTTTGAGTTTGTGGAAGTTCCAGCAGCGTAGCAAGCATTTTCCTGCGCTACGCAACCATCAGGACCGTATAGGGAATCCGAAATGTTCTTGAGTACATCATCTGGCTGGAGCTGTCCATAGCCAGGGGCATAAGTCGCAAAGTTTAGGTATGCGATGTTCTGAATGAGCGGATCATACCAGCCACTGTGAATACTCGCTCAACGGGGTATTACTAGTAAGTCAAGAAAGCGACTTGCTTGTTAATCATCAGGGCGCTGACAACAATCGGAACAGCATCAATCTCCCCGCTAGCGATTAAGGCGTTTTGCTCATCGAAGTAAGTCACAAAGCTGGGTCCGTAGTGACCACCATAGCTCTCTGTGGTAAAGATGAACCTGAGCTCGGCATGAGTAATCGTCCGTGATAGCTGAGTTAAGCGACTGACTCTCGACTGGCATACTTTGAAAATAGCTGGCTTTCAAACAAAACCTGAAATGCAGTCCATACAAAGGGCGCAGCGGCTTCCGTGCTGTTTACCGTATCAGTACCGTAAGAAAACCCTGTTCCGATTGGCTGGTCGATGTAGATCACTGGATGAGGAAGTCGGCTCTGGCAACGAAATCAGAGGATTACGTGCTACATACTGTTGCTAAGATTGTTCCAGCTGTGGGAATTTGGAATCCATGTTGGATTAGTGTATAAAATCGACCATGATTTCGACATACCTGTAGGGGTTAAGAGTGGTGGAATTACCGTCGGCATTCACCAAGCATGGCCCGTTCTCTGTGAAAAATTAGAAGCAAACCAAAGGGCAATTAAACCAAACGACCTTGAAATAGTCCGATCATAGAAGAACATCCAGGGCCGCCATTCAACCTGCGAAAGCAGTTCAGAGGTGCGACTCGACTCAGGTGTGCGACCCAGCTTCGGGGTGACCTACCATAGAGTGAATGGGGCTGTTTCCGGTGAGTTTCTAGACTCGAAGAACCAGAACCACTGTGTCCTAAGTCAGTTTACATCTGGAGCATAGGGACCAGAGATATACCATGGACATGTTTGTTCCAACGTTAATGTAACCAGAGATTTGGGTAACATTCGGAGTTGTTTCACAGATTCCTGAGTTCTTGACATAACGAATGCCAGTTGCATTGTGAGCCTTGGATTGAATCTCGACGTGCCCTGTTTCCGTAGTAGCAAGATTGTCTTTGACAACAGAGACAACGAGAGTTATGGATATGCTAGCTGCTAGTACCAGCGCAAGGCCAGCTCGAATGAGCGTTCTCATAAACATGTCAGTACACGCCAGCAGGGATTCAGAGATCTAAATAAAGTCACATCAGTGACGGCCAATTAACGTCAGGTACTTATAGACTATCAGACATTCTCATGGGCTAAGTATTATCAAGCGACAAGCCAATGGAGGCAAGTGCCCACATGATGGCGGCGATAAAAACGAGATATAGCAACATGCCGCGATGGGTCGTACGTTAGGGCTTCAGCATGAGAATGCTGTTGTTTCAGCCTGCTCGGTTCCACAGCTGGCGAAACCCGCTGGTGTGGGGACTTGGCCGCACGCGATTTTAGCGGCCGCCGCATGCAGCCGCATGTGTGTGCTCCGGGCTGCTTATGATCCCGTTGCGTGAGTAGAACTACAAGGGTCAGTACTCAGTCCTGCCGGTTCAGTGTAGCCCGGAGCGCAAACACTCTCATAATGTAGCTACTAGGGTTTACATAATACAATTAGTCCTTCTTAGCTCCCGCGCTCTAACACTTCCGAGTCAACTTTGGCAATATTATGCCCTGAACGTTTGAACTTCTTTAGTCCTCTTCGAGAGCTGCAAATCTAGTGGCAAATGTCGTCAGGCAAGATACTCTCTGGACTTGGAGTCGATGATTTGTTTTATTGAATATTTCAAACCCATCTATGTTATTATATCTCGCGAGTCTCGGATACCGGTTCTGCCAGGTTCTACCACCACACAGAGTGCTGCCGTGGGCCGTAACCTCAGCAGAGAAGATTCAAAGGAGATCGTTGCAAGACGAGTACCTCTGACTACTACGGAATGTAGAATTATGTATAATCCACTTATCGTTTTTTAATGAACCGTCAACCAGACTGCAGGCGTGCGAGGGACAGCAGGAAAATTGATGTGTGAAGACAAGCGACCGAATACGTGACCATATATGATGCGGTATCAAAGTAAAGTATGCGGGAAACGACGAAACACACTTGGGAAAGTAACCTCATGAGGTAACAGGCTGAACGGTGGGAACAACATGAGGACGGCGTGGGATGCACCAGAGTGCGAGGCAGAAATTGCCCCAACCACCATAGTCATCTACTTGAGCAGATTGCTGTGTCGCCACCTGTACCTGAGGCTGAGGCTGAGACTGAGACTGAAGCTGGGGCTGAGGCTGAGGCCGAGGCTGGGGCTGTGGTATTGCTATAGGCTGAGCTGCCGTTGAGGACGACTGGCCAGTCTGGGCATTGGTCTTCTTAGGGGGAAGTGTTATCCAGCGCCTCTGGAGGTTCGGTTATGTACGTGGCAGAACGAGGGACATCTAATACACTACCTTTTTTTCTTGCGGCAGCGACTGTTACGGGCTGCGGGCCAGTGTACCGTGCGAAGAGACTGCGCTTTGGGCGTTGTTGCAGCGCAATGGGCTCATTTGCTGTTGGACGATGATGAGAGGGAATGAAGACGTTCCAGAGGCGTCGAGCCGAGGAAGCACGGGGTCGCAGAGAGCGACGGGAGGGGCCTGATGGTACCGAAGAATGATATGACTGCGAAGATGACGAGTATACTTATTATCAATACTGGTACCCTTTGCATGATGAAACATGAAGCTTACCTGGAAAAAGTCACCGTAATCATCGCCCCACGATTGCATAAGAGGGTTTGTAGCGTCGACCTGTGACAGTTCTGTGAACAATGGAAAGAAAACAGTTGAATGGGAGAGTACTGACATTAAGGCAGGACGACAGTGGTGACTAGGGTCGAGTGTCCTTCTATATACCTTGTCACCTTGAAGTATGGTTGTAAAATCACGTACCAGAAGCTCAGGAGCTATGTCTTTGACCATCCACAAAGTTATTTTGTTGTTGTCCCCGCCATGTGTGATGTATCTCCCATCTCGAGAGAATGACACATGGTGAAGGCGATTGTAATAATCCTGGCTGAATGGCTCGCCAAGTGGTTGATATGATTCTGTATCCCATAGTTGTGTGATACCCTGGTCGCCCACACACGCCAGTACATTGTATTTGGGTGAGAGTGCGATGGAATCCAAGTCGTGGTCATGCTCGAAGCGATGAAGTTCTGTGCCTGATCTACTATCAAAAGCCCGTGCATCTCTATATGAGGCGGAGTAAAGTTTTGTGCTATCTGACGACCACACCAAAGACACCACACGCCACTCCATTCCGATGGGGCCGATAATGAGCTGGCCTGTTTTCGTGTCCCAAATGTAGATTGTTTCCCATCCGCCTGATGCGATTCTGTCGCCTGAAGGTGAATATGCAAGAGAACCCACCTGATCCTGCTTTGTCTCGATCGGGCCCACCTCTATTTCGCCGCCTTCTGCTTTGTGAATCAGGACCATCCCTTTGTCGGTTCCGCTCGCAATATGGTATCCACTGGGAGACCACGACAGTGATTTTACTCGCCCACCATCATGATCCGCTCACTCGCCTTCAATCATATTTCCGTCGGTATCCCATCGCTCAACACTTCCGTCACACCTTCCGCACACAATAGTCTTCCCGTCTGGTGAAAGCACTAGTGCAACTATCTCTCCCCTCTCGTCTTCCCTCTCGTCTTCCCCCTTGTCTCCCCATGGTTCCCCGACCAGAAGTCCTGTGTTGCAGTTCCACTTGTACATCGTGCCACTATCTGAATAACTCACGATGTGTACGTTGTCGTGCAAGATGAGATACATAACGATTTCATTATGCACTTCAAATTCGTGCTTTGGAGTTGGTTTCTGGGGTTGCGGTGAAGCTTCCTCCGTGGACGGCGTGGTAGAGGATTCGGATTCGGATTTGGAAGACATAGCATCCTGAATGGTCTGTGTTGCAAGGGATTCAAAAGTCATAGCTCGTTACGGTAAGCCGTCCGTATATTTTCGGCTCTGACACTGTCAGACTGCTCATGAGTATAGAAAATAAGAGGAAAAGTTGAATAGCACTCACCAGTTGTTCTGTTTTTTTTTTCGCTGGTAGCAGCCTAATAGGAACAACGGTGAGCCTGGTACCAGAGGAAAGGGCCGAACTTCATCGGCAGGGACCTTGTTTACCGGTATACTGCCGTTCATCGTGCGGTCAGTATTGGTTTTGCGTACCATGTAACACTGCTGAACGCGGCAAGTCCCGAGTCGAATCATGAGAAGATAAGTTTCAACTTTGAAGCTCAAGGAAGTCAACGTCTGACTCAGTACTTAGTTACTAGATCTGTTCAAGTTGGACTCAAGATCTCCGAGTCTCAACTATCGCAACACCGTGAGCACTATTGCCAATCTGAGTGATGTCTCCATTTACTAATACGTTCACACTGGATAGTAGTTCCAATAAAACGTGATAGATGCGTCTGACGCATGCGCATAATCGCGCTGATTATCAGCCAGGTACAACTCCATTGATCAATCTACATGTGGCAATGACAATCATTGGATGCCCCAGACCCTACGTGTCAGCAGTTGAAGAAGAACGCTTGGTCCCGGCGTTTCCACGAGGCATGCTACGCCTTTCCCTTGTCTCTGCTCAGGTGCTGGGTCTTCGACCTCTACTCTCGCAGGCAGCGCGGTGGACTCGAGGAGCCCGTGTCCAATCTGTCGCAGGTTAAGCAGAGCTTGGACCTCTGCCCGATTGGTACCAGGTGCATATGTAGTATTCTCCTCTCTTCGGTCAGTGACGAACATGCCACGAGTAATTTCTCCGCTCCTTTATATGGAATAGATCAGGTAAACAATAAATAATCGGGAACACGCAGGATCGCACCGTTCAATATCGAATGTTCGCTCGGCTATAACCCATCCAGGCGACATTCCAGGAAGACTGCCAGCTGGAATAATTTCAGGTGGATTCTCGATTGCGCACCAAATGGCGACAATATCATGCAGCTCTAGTGCATCCTTTCCAGACTCGATCATGATTTCCCTCGTGCGTTCGAAAACAGAGCTGGTAAAGTGAACAAGGGGTGATTTACCATCTGCATTCGACGGTTGGGCTGTAGACTTGAACGCAGGGTCTACTATTTGTATATAATGCGGCAAAGGGAGTTCGTGGTTAGTAGTGATATCCAAGGGAGTGAGTATCACTCTGTCGAGCGGGAGACCACTGGTAAGATCTGTCGGCACTAAAAGTTCTTTTGCTGCGTAAGGATCAGCAAAAACATTAACTGCATATGTAAACAAGGTTAGTAGGATTTTCTACACGAACACGCCTTTAACTACTCACATTCCGCGACCGAAGTAGTGTTTCCGGGAACATCTAAGGCTCCCGCCATGGCAATGACTCGACCAATTTTATCCACAACTGTTTGACGGTGTTGGTGCACAAGTTGTGCCAGGTTAGTCATCGGACCCAGGACTACATATGTGATGCTTCTGTCAGGACGTGACTCCAGTAAACGCAAGGCCACCTCGACACCTGATTCTTTCACCGGTTGAAAATTGTGGCAAAAAGAGGAACTTCCGAGGTCGACATTCAAGTCAGGGTGGCGTTCGCTTATATTCGATAAACCATCACTACAGTAACAATGAGAACCTATCTCCAAAGTTGAAGAGAAACTTACCGGCCGTGGAAGTATTGAGCAAAGTGCCGTCCACCTTCCAAGGGTCCATCTGGTCCGACTACAAGGAGGGGTGGGACTGTGGGTGAAAAATTCGGAAACCTTGTGGCATCTTCAGGGTATAGCGCAATGTGACGCCCTATTGCCTGGTAAAGCTTGTAGATGTTGTCGCTGCGGAGTCACGTTCAGTTACTTTGAGACTTGGATTGAGCAGCGCCTTAACTAAGCCGCGTGAACATCGGTATTCCCTGTTATCAAATATTGATAAATTTCTCATTTCAGCCTATCCCAACACATTTACGGACCGAATGAAATGATGTACGCAAGGATTTCGAGTTCGGGGGATGTGATGGCAAGCAGGCTGTCGATGCTTTTAGAACCAATGTTATGGAGGGAATCGAAAACGAACATAGCTAGAATGTCATCCACGCCAGGGTCAGTGTCGACTACGAGCCAAGGTCAGATAAGAGTGAGCACAGCGTATTCGACCGACCACTTACTGATGATTGGCGTCCTCGTCTTCTCTTGCATGTTACTATCGTATGGTCAACAGACAGAATCAACACAAATAGGGAAAAGGCCTTATCACTCAGATCATATAGTGTAGTTGAGACTCAGTGAAACTCGGTGAGAATGGGATGAATACGTGTCGAAGCGTGGAACAAGGTAGATAGGTGCCTTATGGTGAGACGTGCTGAACCACAGTGATTCTGCCGATGGAGTTATGAATTCATGCAGAGTGAATGTTTGCGGGTTTATTCGCCTAGTGGAACCGAACAGGTGCTTTTACTCTATTTGCTGTTGCGGCGGCCGATGTCGGACTTCAACATGACCAAAAGAATACGAACCACATGGATGAACACTGCATGGAGATAAGGCATACAACACAGGCGACCGTGGAACGTTCGAACACTGATTATGCGTCGGTTTATATGTAACGGATATTTGAATAAGGATCATCTGAATTGCTACACCAGCTGTATTGTACAAGTAGGGTGGAAAATTTCCCATGGAAACCCGGACCTAATTAAAAGAACAATCAGCCAAAGTACTGCGGAGCACAATGAGATAAGTATCAGAGATCTTGGTGGAAAATTGGTCTCATCGGACTAGCCTCTGAAGTAGCAAATATTGAAAGAATAACATCATAAATGATGCGCAGTCACGCGGACTCACCATGCTCAAAGTTATCCCGATCCGTGTCAAGTGCATGCAGGTTGTGAAGAAAGTGTGGGACGTCAGACTTCATAAGGCGGAATATGCCGGAGAACTATGCAGCTGAAGTCACGGTGGCTGTCACATCACGCCTAACCTGAGGCCATACTCATCCGTGTCCCTCTCGATATCCAGCGACTTACGACTAATGGCTGAATCCTTGCGTTTTCTTGGCTCCCTCCCCGGCCACAAAGGATGGGTTACCGCCATTGCTACCTCCTCGGAGAACCCAGACATGATTCTGACGGCTTCCCGAGGTATGAATGACATTTTTGCATAATTCTTTAGTTGACCTTAGGGCCCAGACAAGACCATCATCGTTTGGCAGCTTACTCGCGATGAAGACACGTATGGCTACCCCAAAAGAATTCTTCATGGCCACAACCACTTCGTCTCTGACATCGTCATCTCTTCCGATGGACAATTCGCCCTTTCCTCCTCTTGGGACCACACCCTGCGTCTCTGGGATCTGAACACTGGTCAGACCACCCGCAGATTCGTTGGCCACACCTCCGATGTCTTGTCTGTCAGCTTCAGCGCAGACAACAGACAGATTGTCTCTGGTTCGCGTGACCGAACAATCAAACTTTGGAACACCCTTGGAGAGTGCAAGTATGATATCAAGGATGATGGTCACACTGAGTGGTGCGTGGGAGTCATGCTCAAATAGATATCATACCCTGACAATACGGTCTAGGGTGTCATGCGTGCGCTTCAGCCCCAACGTCATGAACCCTGTCATTGTGTCTTGTGGGTGGGACAAGGTTGTGAAGGTGAGCGTTCCCCAAGATTCATATCACTGGCCCTCCTAGTCGAGCAACGTTATCTTTATTTGCTACTTCGAGAGTAACCACATGAGATGATCGTTTTCCATCAAAGATCTATGAATCGCTCGTAGCAATGCCCTGGTACACTCAGTGCTAACACTACTTTGATAGGTCTGGGAACTCTCCAAGTTCAAATTGAAGACCAACCACTACGGCCACACCGGCTACATCAACACTATCTCTGTCTCTCCTGATGGTTCCCTTGCTGCATCAGGTGGCAAGGACGGCATTACCATGCTTTGGGACCTGAACGAGGGCAAGCACCTTTACTCGCTTGAAGCTGGTGACATCGTCAATGCTCTTGTGTTCTCGCCCAACCGCTACTGGCTATGCGCTGCCACTGCCAGCTGCGTTAAAATCTTTGACCTTGAGAGCAAGTACGTACTTCCAACTTTTGTTACGAAATCTAGCTTATCGGCGTGATCCCTAGATCAATTGTTGACGAGCTCAAGCCCAGCTTCACTGATGTTGGCCCCAACTCACGGGAACCCGAGTGTGTGTCGATCGCATGGTCAGCAGACGGGCAGACGTTGTTTGGTGGATTCACTGACAACCTTGTTCGTGTCTGGACTGTCACTTCTTAAAATCTTCCGGGGAAGTCGCGTGGTGGAGGACAGATTGAGGTTTACCCTACGCATCGTTTTTACTGTAGCAGGCTGCTTGCATCTCAAAAAAAACATTGCATTTCTCAATTCCTGGTAGAATCTATGGCTTAATGAACATTCACAAAACTCCTGGAGTCTCAGCTTCCCGCATGTTTCGTTGACGTTCCGCGTAATCCCACCGATCTAGGCCTCCAAAATCGATCTTCATCGCGCCAGAAGACAGGTTTACTTGCAATTCGCAGATGTGAGATACCCTAGCTCTCCAGCTGTCGGCCCTGTGATGATAATTAGCACTAGTGACCAAGTGTATTTCATCGGCCTCACGTTGCTGTCCCATACATGTCCGAGCTGCTCTGACTAACCACTCGCACGCATTGATCGCTGTTGGACTTCGCATCGTATATCCACAAGTTCTTTCCCACATAGACCTCCTGCCAGCCACCTGAGTCAACTAATCTGTTTGGGGGCCTGATGCGTTTGGTATCTGGTGGAGGAGTGGGGGCTTGTCGAACATCCACATCATTAAAGAGGCGAAGCGCCGCAAGATTTGAGATGTTGGTTAGCAGAGCACGTTCCTGGGATAAAGACGGATTGATGATGTGAAAGATTGCACTGAGTGAGTTCTCCGAGTCATCATCAGATTCATGGCTGGCTGTCGTAGTAGTTGCAGCGGTACCACCCGGACTTGCTTTGTTGGGCTCAAGTTGATCGTCCATCGTCATGTCATCTTCTTCCAAAGGGCTATCTGCAAACTCCTTCTCTCCTTCTTGCAATCGACTGCAGAAAGCCAACCAAGCAGCCTCATCGGAAAAATCAGTTCGCAACAAGATCCCCAGCTCTTCTCTGTTAGTCGACGCTTCGTCAAAAGGATCACTATCCATGTGGAATTCCGCATCGCCATCAGTACCGACGGCAGTGGTCTGGGATATGTTTGAATGCCGGGTATCATATGCGAAACAAGATCGTGATTTGCTCAGTGCTTACAGATGACAACGTTTTTTCGCTCGAAGCCCAGAACTTCTGTGCGACCTGAAGCTTCCATCGTCTACGACCTTCGTTTGGCGATCGGCTCTTAATCGACGCGTAGTGAATCTGTGATCATGAATGATGAAGGCCTTTGAAGAAGTACTAGTAGTGACTGAACGCACAAGTAACCATTCTCCGAAAGTACTCGAAGACATCTTTTGTGGATATACAGGAACGTCGGTGTTGCAATGTCAAGGATTGCCTGATTGTTTTGCCAGGTCACCACCGGAACTTCATCACCAACAACTTGAACGTTAACTTGAAATTGCGAGAGTAACGGTACTTCAGTCCATAATTAGTTCAAACGCATCATAGACTCGGGCTTATAGGGCATTTTTTGATCAAAACTTCCGATTATCGCACAGTTGTCCGTATATGGAAGAAACTTCCACGAATCGCCAGAGACGATATGGGTCGCAGGTCATAGGACTTGCGCAGCGCTCACACTAATTGTATCCGATTGGTGTGGATAGCCACCAGTGGTCACTGCTGGAGCCCCACTACGTCTCCTGATCCGAGATTGCCCCATGGCGATTCAAATCTTTTTTGCTGACCTCCAATGCAATCATGGTCCGCAATATAAGCGTCGAATGGTTCTCAGGCATGTAGACGCGTGTCCATCTTTTCCTGCATGGCACCTCCTACAGGAACTACCGGTGAGCACTGAACACAGGTTCACTTTCAATGTCTGGACAGGATTGATTGAACGAAATGCAGGAACTCAACTCGGACGAAGGGAATGGGCCTTTGCGTTCGCTCTTGTGACGTCCTTATTTTTTACTTGTGAGTCATAGGTCTCTTTGTGGTATTGGTACCGAAATAACGAAGTTCACGGCGAACTGCAGGGGGTTTTGCCTATGGTGTATGAATTTCCTGCATTTGAAAATCTATTCCTCCAGCTGATCGAAACCTTCGATAACAGCTTCTTGATGTACTCAACGCACACTTCCAGACCGTATTCGGGATCTCCAAGCTTCAGAGCACGCTATTACAATTAGCATACTTTGTAAGTGTCTGGTCCTTGGTGATAGCGCGATCGTTCTCGCTAATCGCAAGTTAGGGTGCCTATTTCGTGTGGGCACCATTCGCGGGTATATTTGTGAGTCACATCAGTGTTTACTTCAGAGCAATACTAATTAGAGCAGATGAGACGAGTAGGATACAAGGTGACTCTTAATCTGGAGATCCACAAACCAGATAACGAACAGCTTCCACTTATAGAAAGGCATTCATATCGGCCTTGGCTTGTACTCCATTGGTATTGGTATCCTCATTCGTACAATACACAGACTTACCATTTCTTAGGTGCCGTATTCTTCTGGCCATCCGCGAAATACGAAACATATGGAGGGTTCGTCGGGAGTACATTCGTAATCGGTAATTCAACTCACAAGAGCTATATCACCATAGTACTAATATCTTATCCCACCTAGGTTGCGGCCTCTCAACACTCGAGGTCGCGGCCAACTCCTACATATCCGTGCTTGGCACGCCTCAGTATGCTGCCGCCCGTTTGAACTTCAGTCAAGGGTTCCAAGGCGTTGCATCCTTTGCTGGACCTTTGATCGCTTCACGCTGGTTTTTCACTGGTGCCAATGCGACCAGTCTTGGCACTGTGCAATGGTCTGTCTGATAGCTTTTGTGCAAGCACCGTACTAAACTTTTATTAGGGTCTATCTTGCAGTCGCTGGCCTCGGCATAGTACTTAATATACTATTTTTGTGAGACCAAATTTTGCATGACGGAACGCCCGTCCTAACCTTCAACAGCTTCTGCAACCTACCTGAAATCACAGAAGATGCTTTGGCTGAAGAGATAGATGAAGTTGGCATCACAGATGGCCAAGGACCTTTCTGGAAGCAATATCGCTGTATTTTTGGGTTTGTTGCCCAGACCGCCTACGTGTGCGTTTTCCTGGTTCTCTCCAGCTTGTGTAGTGGGCCTTAAATATACCACAGCGGTGCACAAGTAACCATCGCCTCTTTCGCCGTCAACTTCCTCGTTGACCAAGGAGTTGGTATCGACCAGTCAAAGGCTAGCCAGCTCTTCTCGTTCTGCCAGGTCACATTCACCGTAGGACGGTAAGACATGACACGTTTTCCTACCTTCATCGACATTCTGAATTTAATGGCTTACAGATTTCTTGGTGTAGTGATGCTCAACTTTATCGACCCTGCCTTATTGCTAGCCTTCTACGGATTTTGTTGTTCGTTATTCTGCCTCTTGGTCTCTCAGCTTCCTGGGTATAGCGCTGTCGCATGTCTCTTCTGTCTGTTCTTCTTTGAATCCATTTGCTATCCTGTACGTCTCTTCCTCCTTTTGAGCTACACCTCATTTATCGTGTACTTTCAGTGTATCTTTACCCTAGGCACTAAGAACCTCGGAGTGCACACCAAGCGGGGCTCTGGTCTTATTGTTATGGTGAGTCCTCTCGTATTCCGGCTGTGCTCGATTCAAGGTTCTCACTAAAATCAGGGTGTTGGGGGAGGGGCTTGGTACCCACCTGCACAAGGTGCCCTCGCCGACGCAACAAATACCCGTCACTCGTATCTTGTCCCAGTGTCAGGTTACATCGCCATGACCATTTACGCTGTGTAAGATCCAGCATTTTTACAAGTTTGCATTGTTTTCAACTATATACAGCGGCCTTGTTGTCGACCAATCGAGGAAGAACGGATTCTCATTCCGCAACCGCGATGAGCTTACCGACAACTTGAAGCATACCTCTGATGACTTCTCTCCAACCGAGTCGCTCCCTGGTGATGCGAAAGGACGCTCGAGCAGTGAAAAGAAGGTGTTCAGTGACGAACAAGTTGGGGTCGCATGAAAATACAAATACATTCACAATAGAGGAAGCACGAATGTCATGGCCTCCTCGACCCGTATAAGCATCCATTACCCCGCAGTTATATATCCATGTATATAACGATGCCACTGCCATCCGGCGAGTATCCATGACGGATACCTGAATGACGTGAGTTTGTATGATATTCATCGCCGATGCCTTGAACCGCTACATGATCTACGATTTACTCGAATATTGTCGCTCAAATTGACAGAAAACCCCTACCTTTAGAGTGTATGGCCGCATGAACTTCATGGCCTTTTTTTTTTTTTTTTTTAAAAAAATCCAATTTTTGTCTTTGAGAGTGTAGCTCTATGTAAGACAGTACTATCTAGTCTTGGGGGCCCCTGTGCCCCTCCTGCCCCTCTAGATTCATCAATGCCCCGGTGTGAGGCTTGCCTCCACCGGTCCAACTTCATGGCCTTTGACTCGATACGGGCGGATACGTATTTCCCACAGTTCCCGCATTATGACTTTGTGGAACATCATCAGGCTCGCTGCATTCAAATTATCTCCTGGCCTCTGATAAAGCGCTGGAGCATTTTCAGGCATACAGACGCATGCCCTTCCTTTCTTTACAGTCCGAAAATATGGCACCTCCTGCAGGACCGACGGGTAAAGGCCTCTGCGTTTGTTCTTGTGCACTTTTGAATGTCTTCGGGTTACGACCTAGTAGACTCGTAAACTGAGATGTCACGGTGCTAGTACAACTCGAGCCTTCAGAATGTCGCTAACTCTGTTTTCGGTCTATATCAATGTTATCATTTGTTTTACATCGAGGCGCCACGGCTGTGCTTTGCATCATGTGACTCAGTAATTTGTTTGGCAAGAGCCTCTGATCCAAACAAAATCCCTGAAGCAATCGACGTGACGACTTGGAGTTTGACTTCGGTTTAAATAATGCTACTGCAATGGTGTACGCTCAGTCCTGCAGGCCCGTCCAAGCTCTCTGCTATCAGATTCTCGTCACCAAGCAGAGTACATTCGATCAAGATATTTCCCACAGACGTGCAACCCTTTGGTCAGTGTCCAGACATCATCGCGTAAGTGCAACTATTCCTGATCATGCTGCGTGACATAGAGATAACCATATAGTCAGCCGCACAGAACCAGAAGCATTCTTTCTTGATGTATATTTCAATGCCTACCCCGTGGGCTCACCGGTGGACGCGAAGCAAAAGCTCAAGGCACCTAATGCACTCATGCCAACCGTCATCCCATACGCAGGTGGTATAGTGGAATATGCAGTGAACATGGGCTCTGAGGTATTTCGAATGCCACTTATATATTGTCTTTTCCAACTTAACTCTCAGTTCGCGACTCGTTTAATGATTGTACGTGGAGACTTTGAAACAGTATCAATGGCAATATACGGCGATGTCGTTTCAGATAGCCCACCCAAGTCAACTACTTATTCTCCCCTCTCCCTACCCACCCATTCCTCTGTTCCCCTCGTGCCTGCCTTAGATGCTGCAAAGAGTAACGACCCAACCGCTCTTGCGAGGAATCTGCTGGCACTAATTCCCAATGCGCCCTCCCTTTCCCTCGTCATCCGCCTTATGTTCTGCCTCAAGCAACCTAATGATGACTGGGAGCTCCCGGAATTTCCGCATCTTTACTCCGACCTGAACGAGGAAGAAATGGATATCGATTTAGATACTGCGTTCCGATCTTTGAGTCGTCCTGTGGTGGATGACATTTCATCAGAGCAATTGCATCGGTTTGCAAGGAAAGTCTCAGAGGCCGTCGGTCCCAGGGTACGTCTTCCGAAGTCAATCCCCACCTAAACCCATTAGCTTGTTTCGTAGGACGATGCACAATCATATCTCATTGCAGGCATTCTCTCTCGCTCTGCTTCGCAGACTCCTGAGTTTGCACAGGCTTTGATGGTAGGTCAATTCTTAGGCACACAAAAATACTTGTTTTCACACTCTCGCAGCAAGCGCTCGAACTTGAGACGATATTTGACCCATCAACTTTGGATGAAGAGGCTTTACTCACACTTCTGGATGCAACAACAAATCCAGATATATCGCGGTTGTTGAAGGCGTCGTGGTTTCTTAATGTCCTACGAGCTGTCCTTGCGCTGCCGACAGTGACCCCCGAGATGAAGAAGGCTTGTCGACGGTTAAGTGATCGGGTAGGATCGTGGACAGTCTTTGATCAAGCGCTATCCGGGGTTCCAGATGCAGATTACACCAGGGCAGCACTGTTTCTAAAGGACATTGGAAAGGAGGAAAAGAGTTTCGGCATATGGCTGTCGTGTATCACCACTCATGAGGACCTTCTTGCGAAGATCAAAGATGCACCTGCATACGAGGGCGTGTATCCGCCAGATTTGATGTCCGGCTTGAACCCTTCTGAGGATATATCCCATTCGGAGTTCATGGCGTTCGTTAGGGCATATGTTGGAGTTGCTTCAGTGCTAGCTGTGTACGCCTGGTCGGACAGTCTTCCAAATTTACATTGTCGCGAGCGCACTCTGGGTGTTTTGCGCTTGTGGCAGGAAATTCCTGGATATCGTGCGGTATGTCATACCTATCATTACTTTGCCCAACTTCTCACGAGTGTATCAGATCATCTCCCCCCTACTACTTCTACCCCAAATGACCTTCCGCCTGGAATGCATGACAACTGATAATGACCCACCCATAACTGCAGGGATCAACGCTGAGTCCCTTCTTTACGCACTTGCAGCCAACCCGCAAAGTTTCCTCAATCCTGATTTCGTTCGCTGCGTGAGGAGCTGGGAGCCATGGAGCTTAACATGGATCAACGAGCGCGAACGAGCAGACATAGAGCGCGCCGCCAAAATCGCAGCCAAAGGCGTTGGTGGAGCCGTAGAAGAACTCGTTGCGTTTGCAAAAGAAGGTCACGACGCAATTTTGGATCAAGGCAGGATACGGGCTCTTAGGGTTGCTGTGGCTGTCATCATGCACACGCTAGAGGATAATACCGAGAGCGGAACCAAATGTGGCGACTGGACGGTGTTGGAGGCTGTGTGGGGTGAACATACGCATGGACTTTTGAATTATGCCATCGATGTGTTTACTCGTATCAGCGTGGGGGTGAAGCAAGGGTTCTCATTGACGCCTTCTCCATCACTTACGATTGGTCTTGAACCACTCTTACTCGTGACGAACGAGAGCCTCCTCCTCATTGCGAGCTTATATGCATTCTCCATTACCACAAGCCGTGCAGTCCGGATGCTCGTGAGCGGCGTTTTGGATATGTACAGCTGTGCTGATGTCGCATCCCACGAATCTGTCGCAAACAGCGCAGTACGGGACGCCGCACTCCTTACCAAACATACCTGCGCCAACGTACTCTGTGCGTTTTCAAGGAACTTGCAAGATCAATCCAAGTGTGGCCTATCTATAGTTCTCCGCATGCTCTTTGAACAGGGGCTCCATTTTGATAATGTCGATCCTACGAGAAGACTTTTGAGTGCTTTTTACCTGGTCCTTCGAGTTCTAGCAGATGATGGAGACCTACCCGTGGGCTGGATGTCCATTGTCATTCCTCAAATTCTAACTCCCCTCACACTCTTCTTCCGTCATCTCGAACCCGCGCACAAGGTCCAGCTGGTCCAGCGACTTGTCAACCTCGACCGGGGTGTGTTGGGGCTGGGTGACTTCCTCATCCAAGGGGAGGTGAAGAGACTCGCTGGTCTTCTGAAGGTGATGGCCGAGAGAGGGGTTGTCACGCAGTGGGAAGTGGGCGCAGGACTCGAGTTTGTGGCAGGGCTCATAGAAGGTGAAGACGGCGACTGGTGTATATCCTCATTATACCAATCGGAGTGGGGAACCGTTATGACCGGCTTACTCGAAGCCAGCCTCTATTCAAGACATCTTGGAATGATTGCCGGGCGGTTAGCTGAGAATCCAGAGTCCCTAGGGATCGAGCTCAGGCTTTCTGTCGTTGCTGTACTCTTGCGCGGTGTGCAGGTGCAAGAGCCGAGCGTACGCAGGATGAACGCCTTCGGCTTGATCTCTGCTGTCCTCGAGACGACCGACGAGAAAGACAGGGATCCCGAACGGCTGCTCTGGGAAGTAGGACACGCACTCGGCGCAATAGTAGAATCAACCGACAACCTCTCCTCCCTCGACTCCGAGAGCGTCGTCAACACGCTCCTACTCCTCGATTCTCCCTCCCAATCCGATCTCCACGGGCTCACCTCCGAGCAATGGGTCAAGCTATGCACCCACTTGGAAACATCGTTACCACCCAACATGCTCCCTATGCTCCCCATCATCAAAGGCTTCCATCCCTTCCCATCCCCGCCACCAACAATCTCATTCCTCCCATCGACCCTCACGATGCCCCTTTGCGACCTGATTTCGCTCCTTCAACCACCACCACCCCTACCCAGCACTCCACCACCAAAGCGCAAATCACCCAGCCAAGACGTCCTAGGCCTCGTGGCTATCTCCCCACCAACAGCAGTACTGCGCTCGCCAGCTGTTACGGGTCTCACAAAGACGTATACACGGAATGATTTTCGCGAGTTGAGGCAGTTACCGAGTGCAAGGCAGAATACGAGTAGGTTGCCGAGTATGCATGTTGATGTGAGTGTTTTTCTTTTTTAGTACTCAGACATCTAACTGCCGCATGCAGGATTTCCTCCAGGTCGAAATGTCATCTTCACCACTCGTTCAACCTGTAGCGCCTTCGGGAGATATGCTGAATCTTTCCCCATCGTTTAACATGGGACAAGAGAATGGGTACATTTAGAATTTGGAAATGTTGTTGTCGTCGTCGTTGTCCTTGTTGCTTTGGATTTGAGTCGGATCACATTGCGTGCGTGCGGTACATTGTCCTTGTCCTAGTTCTTTGTTCTTGGAATGTAATGTGTAAGATAAGATATGTCTGTATACTACAATGCTACAAGCCCATGCACTGCCATAATAAATCATCAAGTCACGTCGCAGAATCAATAAATAAATCTAGCGTGGACGTCGTCTTCGAACGTCATGGGAAGAGGGGTGCGGTAGATCTGAGGCTGGGGATAGGGATTGTTGTGATAGTGGTGGCAGCGAGCGGAAATATCGATCCATATCAGATTGGTCGAATTCTGATGGGGGCACAGGTGAGAACGGCGATTCCGGTTCCAGTTCCGGTTCCGGTTCCAGTTCCAGTTCCGATGACGACTTGGTAGCCGTTGCTGTTGGTTTCAATACAACATCAGGCACCTTCGCCCTCCCACTCCCAATCCTATACATCCTCTTCCTCCTCGCCTTAACAACAGGTCTCTCACCCACCTGCTCCTTACTCAACGTCCTCGGAGGAACACTCCGTACCGTGAAATGAGCGAGCGGGCGTGTATAAGGTGATAATGTGTGGTTCGACTGGGATAGGGTGCTTAGTTGGGAGATGGTGTTGTTGAGGGCGGAGCGGAGGATGACGGGGTCTGGATCCGGGTCTATGGCGTGCGTGTGCGTGGTACTCCAGGTGTCGAAGTGGTTTATATTAGAGGAGGAAGAGACGGAGAGGCGACGCGAGGAAAGGGGTGATTTGAGGGAGGTTTCTGTATTTGTGTTTGTGTCTGGGTTTGTGGCTGTGTATGGGGGTGCAATGGAAGAGGGTGGGGTGTCGATGACGCCGCTGCTTGAGGAGAATTGGGTTTCGAGGCTAGAGGGAGTGATGGGGCGAGATAGGTGGGATTGTGTGGGGATATCGTATCCGGGCTCTGACCGTGTGTGGAGGCGCGGCACGCCATAAAGCGCAGGAGTAACAGGAAAATACAGGTTGAAGTTAGAATGCTGCTGATGAGAGGATAAGCGGGTGGGATGCGACGGACGGGACTGAGGGTCTGAGCGGATAGACGTTGCATCTGGCAAATGTGATGTTTTTGAAGGAGTCTGAATCATGGATTGGGAATGGTATACTCGCGGACGGGTAATAGTACCGCCACCCACCGCAGGCAGCGTTTCGTATTCCGTGACAGGCTCCTCGACGGTAGTTGGGGGTGGTGAATACTCCGGTACTGAATCTTCCCAGTCGACAACATTGAATGAACCCTGCTCTTCTTCGCCTTCCAAGCTTTCGTCTTCTCCGGGCTCTTCAGCAAGATCTCCAAGACCCATGTTACGTGTGAAGAGGCGGCTAAAGGATGAGAAGACGCTCTTTGTTGGGAGCCCTTCTGGACGGAGGCCGTATGTTGGGTCAAAGATTTCTTGCTCGGGATTTGAGGAAGATGGGTCTGATACTGGCGGACTCGTGTGAGAGGGAGTGGGGGAAATTCGAATACTTCTACGAGCTGAACTTGATACGGAAGCACCCGACATCGAGCGTGCGCGACCGTAAGAGAGGGAGCCAAGGGATTGTTGACGGAGCATGTGTAACCCGATACCAGAAATGCCAGGTGATATGTATGCAAGGTCAGGTGCAGAAACAACGTCGAAGGCTCGGGGTCGCGATATAGGTGCTCGCTTGTCGAGATATGGCGCCTCTACTTTCGCTTTTACCCACTGTTGACTGAGACGATGTATGATTCCCGGTAGATCCTCCCTGAACATCTGCCTAAGCTGGCCTTCGATCTCGCGTTGGATGAACTTCTGGATTACAGCGATGGAGTCGAATGTGCTATTTATATCTACGTTCTGGAGGGGGTCTGTCTTGAATACGAGTGTGATGCCTTTTTGCTTTGAGACGACTAGGACGACATAAGAGTTGAGTTTGAAGTGGGAGAGGCGGAGGAGCATTGGAACTACAAGAGGGTCTTTGGCAGCCAGCATGCCACGAGAGCCTGTCATGATATGTATATCAGGTTGCTTGTGATTCAAGGGATTTGCCTGACGAAGAAATTGTTAATATGACGGAGCGAATGGGATACAAGTAGCAGCACTAAACACCTGTACTTTGGTCTTGAGTACGATATGTGCGTCTCCTGCGTAAGTGAAACGAAATATACCGCGAAAGTGGTCCATTGTCAAGTCACCGATATCCCGAATTTCGAGTTCTGGTGGCTGTCGGGTGGTATGAGGAGTGAGGTGCGACAAAGTTTGAACCGTGCAGAACCCACCTGCGTTCCCATTTCAAGTTCTACGACTTCAATCTTGTCAGCGATGACTGGCGGTTTGTTACCCTTGTTGAGGGCGTTATTGAGCATCTGGATAGCATCTGTGTGAAACTGGTCGGAAAAGCGTGGCCATTCAAATGTGAACGACATTTCTGTGTGTTGACTGCTGTCGTTTGCAAGCCAGCCAGCATTCAAAATATTCGAAGATGACCATAAGACATGGCCGTGGAATAGTGTCCTGAGCCCAAATTAACACTGCCATCCCCGAGGCCATGTAGCGTAAATTTGCAAGTCAACTAATTAGCACCAATTTACTTGTAAATTTGACGAATTTGATGGTCAATCAGGGTAAATGTGGTTCTACAGCCATACGTCCCAACTTTTGCATCCGGAAGTGCCTCTAACGTGCGTGCGGATTCGCGTTTCGGGGTGTTTCATCCAGCAAGTGATAGGGAAGACGCAACTCCTTTGCCCCCCACAAGCAAGAAGTATGAGCCATCAACCTAAACTGGCTCGTCAGTCCACGTACCTCCGGCTTTAGTTGTACACCCCAGTTGAACCACACATTATCGCCTCATACCTGCTCACCCGCTCATTTCCCGGTACAGTGTTCCTCCGAGGACAGTGAGTAAGGAGCAGGTAGTAGTAGGTAAGAGACCTGGTGTTAAGGTAGAGAGGAAAAGGATGTATGGGATTGGTATGGGAGTGGGAGTGGGAGTGGGAGGGCGAAGGTACCTGATGTTACACTGAAACCAACAGCAACGGCCACGTTGGAACTGTCACTAGAACCAGAACCAGAATCGCTGCTCTCGCCTGTGCCTCCATCAGAATTTGATTAAGGATCAATATTTCCGCTCGCCACCACCAAATCCTTGTCCCCAGCCTCAGTTCCACCGCGCCCCTTTCCTACGATGTTCGAAGACGGCGTCCACACTGAAGAAACGGCGTGCAAACTGAACGTGGACTGTAACTTAGCGCTGAGCTCTCAGTTGTGTGTATTATTGAATTGGTGTTGATACAATTTAATCAATGGCGGGTTGATGAGGGGGTATACGTTGTACAAATGGCCATGAGGCTATCACTAAAAGAAACAAGACCACAGCATCTTCAATAAAACATTCCTTTGATTCTTCCTCGCGCTGTCAGCCCTTCAAGTTCGATTGAGCCGATTCCTGATCTTTTCTCAAAGCGCCATGCTTCCACAAGAGCCCTCGCTTCAACAGGGAGTACCTCAGGATCGCTTGTTCCAACCGTTATGTGCAAAGCATTTCGGATTTCCTCCGACAATTTCGACACAAACTCACTCCCTTCCTGACCTGCAGAAGAGTGATTGTCTGGTGAACCGTCGAGCTCGAAGTCATCCACAGCAATGGCCATAATTCGTTCGTTCCAGACCAAATGACCGAGAGTGAAGGTGAACGAGGGAGGAAGTGCCATTTTATGGAGTTGTGAGCACCGCTCCCAAAGTTCAATAGCATCGGGGAGGGATTTGCTGTGCACTATAGTGATATGGGGGCGCACAGTGACACGATGTCCGGCAACGAGGGCATTCCAGAACGCTTTCCCATTTTCTGGTACGTCCGATGCGTTTTCCATTTGTTTCCCGATGACATCAATGAGATCAACTTCTGGCAGGAGTCCGAAGTAGCGCGGCATGGGTTCTTCATCTTTCTTTTTCTTCTTTTCTTCTTGAGGCTTTTTTGTCTGAGGCACGTAGTTACGGGCCTTGCACACGGCCTCGTCGATCTCATCTGCACTTGGCTGTCGAAGACCAAGGATGCTGACGCACGCAGCGACTGCACGGTCCACGGTTTGCTCAAGGGTATCTTCGATGTCCATATCTATCCTCACGTCTACCTCTTCGTCGGAGAGTTCCTCTGAAGCACGGATAAACTGCCATATGACGTCTTCGTGCACCTTAGTCAGGGTGTCAGCACGAAGTTTCTGGTGCTTATCACCACGCGCAAAAACTCTGTCACCACATATCCGATGGATTGTTGCTTGAGGCCGATCGAGTGACCAATTCAACGCGAGGAAACGAACAGGGGGGTCCATTTTGGCAACGGCTTCGCGTAGGGAGTCACGATGTTGCTTGAGGTGGTTGTTCCTGCAGCAGGTTAGTACGAGGGCGATTACATGATCCAGCATGATCCATACTTGTCGGCTATAACAATATCATGGTGCTCCAAGAGGTTAACAACATTCCTGATGAACGCGGGGGCGGATTTTTTCGCTTGTATATCGTCACTCTGAGTGTGTCCGAAATCGAATAGAGAAGTAAGCGCAACGGAAACAGCGGTCTTGCCTGTGAAGCAGAAACCGTAAAGAAAGGCACGAGACAGAAATTGGGTGCTCACCACACCCGGGAATGGCAACAGGCAGAATTATCGTCTTCCCAAACTCCTTGGTGGTCGGTGGCGCCTCACTCTGTACGGCCAACCCCTTCTTCCCTTCGTCGGTATCCATCCATTTCAAGAATCTCTCGCGAGTGGCGATGATGCCTTTGCCTTTCGAATATTCCGAAAACGCACTGGGATTATGCCTTATTTCCTTCTTTACCCATTCGACATAAAGGTGGGTATCCTTCCGCTTCAACTTCGACTTCGGCAATTTGGCGTCGTTGAGCGATCCTTGTGTTGACAACAGGATTTTGGTTACTTCCCGCCAGTCGCGATACATCATGTACGGTTCATCAAACTTTACTTTGAAAAAGAAAGAGGATCCTGTTGGGTAAGGAGGACGCGCGTTGCGAGTGGTAGACCCCTGCTTTGGATCGATGATGTGCGTACGGACTACAAATCCCTCAAGTGCTTCGCCGTTCCATTTCCCAGTTTTCGCAATATCGTCGGTGAAGGATTTCACCTCTGAAATCGAGTTCAGGGTGATGACAGGCGTCTTTATAAACCCCCATTCTTCTGCGAATGCGTCGACCGTTTCTGTAGGCATAGTATGAAATTCCTTCGCAGTCTCGTTTATTCCGTGGAGATGTAGACCCGACTTCTCGGCAGAATAAGGAAGTATATGCTCCTCGAAGCTGTCGTCGCAAAGCTGTGAAGTAATAGTTAGTTTTAGAACTTTTGCTTACTTGTATGCATCACATACCTCGGCGATGGCTGTCCATTGCTTATCCCACAATCTCGATGCCAGCTGTTCCTCGGTTTTGCCCTTTTCTTTCAAGTGCTTCTTGAGCCACCGATGACCAACCTCGGAATGTGTTTCTGACACCCCTTGCATCGATCCCAGCGCATGTTTGGACGTGACGATCAGCTTCGAAGGAGAAATGGAAGCAACAAATATGATGCATCCGTTAGATTTGAGTGATAGCGTATATATGGGTCCTGTATGTAAGGAGAGTGTTGACCACTGCAAACGAATTCCAATGAGGCGATGTCAGGCGGTTTGACATGGAGACAACTCACATCGGTCCACGGGACCTCACCGATGTTGAAAAACTTATCATATCCTCGAGCTACGATTTGGTACTTTTGCTCTCCATTAGGGTCATCTCCACATGGAAGTTCACGGCTGAATAGACCTCTCGCTAGCGTTGGAAATGGCGATGGAACGTCATAATACTTGAATTCGTTCATCTTCCAGCTTCGAACAGAGATGGAAGGATCCGACGGCGCGGTATACACCGTTGATCGTACTAGCTTGGGCGACTTCTTTGAGAGTCGGTGTAGATCATCGATGAGCTGAGAATCTTCCACCCGCATGCGAGTCATAGTATGTGCTTGCAAAATGCAGGTGATATAACAATGGAATTGCAAGGACTCCGAGTCATTAAGATTGTGCGCTTATCTGTTTCTTATAAGTTACTTACATAACTAGCTATACTTGGCACACCTAGTCAGATCTAGTCAGATTCCAAGCCGTCGCCGTTTGATTACTTCACGCTGGTTTTCACTGGTGCTAATGTGACCGGCCTTGGAACCGTATATGGTGGCCAGCCACAGTGGATCAGTATCTATGCTCGAGCCACACTATAATATCTTGAATTCAAGGTCTGTCTCGCAGTTGCTGGCTCCGGCAAAACACTTCATATCCTATTCATGTAAGAGCAGTCTCGGCACGGAAGATCAGTACTAGTTCTCACCGACACCCTCGATAGCTTCCGCGACCATTCATGCCATGTAAGTAAGCTCACATTGTCCTAACCTCTATCCAGCGGTATTGTTGTTGAATCAGACGAGGAAGGGCGGATTCACATTCTGCAACCGTGATGAGCTGTCCGCCATGCGTGTCGCTGATTTCCGTCTGACCGACTCGCTCCCCGATGACGCTGAAACACGCTCGAACAGTGAAAAGAGAACATCCAGTGACGAATTGATTGCGGTCGCATGAGAAGTTCGACCATGATGGAGGAAGAGTAGTAAAACCGTGACCCCCTTGACCAGTATAAGACATTGAATGCCGCTCAGGAATTATCTCATGGACATGTATTGAGACAATCGTTTGTAAATGCCGCTGTAATTCCGAATGGGTATCTAATGTTGGGCGAGCCTGTTCGCTGTGTCACACAGCCGACGTCCTTGAACCCGCTATACGATCCACGATCTGCTCCGGTTAGTTTAACTCGAACGTTCAGCGACGTTGATAAATGACACTTACAGGTCGAATGTATGGCAATGACAATAGGTTGCCAATGAATGGCAATTGACGCAGGAATGTCACGACCACGGGGAAGAAGTCACTGAACCTAGCTATTAGATCCAATTCTTCGTTATGAAATGTTCCACGTACCCAAACAGGTTCAAGAAGCCAAATATCTCAACAATCATTCCAATGAATGCATACTTCATGAACACGAGCAGAATACCGCCAATGAAGCATGCTGTTCCTCGAAGCTTTTGCTTTCGCGCGAAGAAGTAGAATGTCTTCTGAGGGCCAATAATCAAGGTAAGACCGGATAAGAAGAGCATCTGTGCAAGAGCTTGGTGTGAGCAAAAAAATGGAAGACGGGAACTGGGGTTACATACATTTCCTAGCGCTAGCAAAGCAGCGTCAAAGAACAACATGATACCAAGGAACATGAATAGTGTCCCGAAGGTCGTAAGGGCCACGCCAATTTCTATGATCATGATTCTCGTTCAACAACCAGAGCAGACAGAGCTTGGGTAAACTGACTTTGCGCATCAGACAACCACATGTCTCCAGAATTCAAGGTGTCTTATGCAAGAACTTCTGGTATTTTTGAAAGCGTAGCTATCGCTGGAGAGAACGGTGGAATGAGAATTAGACTGCGTGGCGAGTTGTGCCCTGGCAATGAATTAATGACACTGGACAGGGTTTGTGAACGCGCGGAAGCAGTGTGTGACTGACACGTCACATTGTTTGAGTGTGTAGCCTACTACTTAGTAGCATAGTCCTCATACCATTAAAACTATAATGCTATCTTCGAGGAAGACGACTACTTAGGCCAGGTGTTCTACATAGGATTCAGATTGCCTTGCAATACTAAGCGCACTCAGGTTCAATGCTATTGCGATGACAAGAGATCATCTGGACAATGAACATGGCCATGACTCTAAAGAAATAAAGACGCCAAATGATAGCTTTGAGTACACTGGGACAGTAAATGGTATCGTATTGTCCACAACGGTACACAAGTCGGGTGCAATGACGAAAGAAAAATAGATAATAATGGTATGTATAGATCTGAAATATCGCTCAGTTTAATAAATGAGGGTGATCGAGGAGACGTATCACGGACATTCCACCAGTCAGTTAAGATCCAAAAGCACCAGTATGGGCGCCTCAAACTCTCTCTCCGCGTCGTTGTTGCTCCTTGGCGGCAATAACTCTATCATACGACTCCCTCAACGGACTTCGGTGCGCAAGGATGGACACGTGTGCACTAAGGTAGGGTGGTGGGAGTAGCGGGTGCACAGTTTCAAGGTTGGTGTACAGACTAGCTGCAGGAAAATGTGAGGTATATTGCGGTGTTGACGGACGGGGTGGTGGGAAGTTGTGCAAGTGATGACAACGCTTGTACAGAGCTCGATGAAGTTGATGACATGGATGACAGGGTACGAGTGCGGTCGTGTACAACCTTGAATTGGAGTGGTTGGATATGTGCTTGACTCGGAAGAGTGACCACCGAACGTGCGGATGATATTGATGTCCTGCGATTAGGTGGTAGAGCATGCGCAGTCTTGATACTAGATGGCGAAGTGCATATTCTATCCTCCATATCATAGGTCTGAGTACCGGATATGTGCGCTGGAGCAGCTTCAGATGTGATGGTGAGTGGAGCGAGAGGCACCATCCGTGGTGTCACTGGAGCTGCATGGCCATATGACTGACCTCGGATGAGTGGATGTGGGCGTAATGGTGCATCATTTCTGCTTGTTGTCGAATGAGTAGATGGTGGGCGTGTGACTGACTGGCGTTTGTGCGGACGTGAGCGATGAATAGGCGAGGTGTTCTCTGAACGAGTCTCCATGATACGGCGCTCAGGAGAAGGGTGCTGAGAGAGATTGGACTGTTTCACTAGATGTCTAGATGTGGCTAGTGCTGGAGCCGGTGATGCACGTGCAGCTGACACAGCTACAGCTGATAACGCTCGAGCTGGTGCATCGGGGGGACGGATGGTAGGCACCCGTGACATAGAAGGTGGTTGTGCTCTTGGAGTTTCCGGTCGATGTATGAGTTCATCAATGGGCGGAGCCGCGGGGAGCGAATGTTTGTGCGTCTCGACCGGTGTCCGGGACCTGCCACTGTCGGAGCTCACACTGCTCGGAGTCGCTGCCCCACTCTCGCTAGAGATCCACTCATCGTCTTCATCCGCACTTTGGCTAGCGATAGTAAATCCAGCTTTAGGTTTGCCAGTTGTCGTTGCCTGCCGCTGGTTTGAGGGAGGTACATGCCGCTGTGTTTGAACTGGTAGCTGCTCCCTTGAAGCAAGATGTGTCGAGCTATTTACTCGAGGAGGATACGGCGAAGTATTTCTTGAATGCGACTAAACGAGAGAGATCACGCGGTTCAGCCAGATTTTTGAGGGGTTAGTATTGATATGACGCACGTCATGAACTAAGCCGTTTTTCTTCGTTCTTTCGGCTTGCTTCACTGGAGCAGGATCCTTCTGCGTGAAGTGAAGGTTCAGTGCTGCTTTGGAGGAGCCTCCCGACGATGAACGGGAGTGTGTACGAGGGAGGCCCGTTGCGCCAGCGCGGTGAGCTTTGGGAGGCATGTAAGAAATCGAGTAGAATTATTGGGTCTCCGCTACGTGATCACTGTAATTTGCAGTCCCGACAACAAACAACAACGTTCAACCATATGCCATGCCCACTGGGGGACAACGGACGTTTTGTTCCTTCAGAATGGTACTTGGGAGTTTGAGGCTTGTGCGAAGCATGTGTGGGTTCATCTATCACCACGCCCTTCATGCCACCTCAGGGCTGCTGAATCTCGTGTCCGACACAACTTTTTAGGCCCCGAGTTTGCGTTTCTGCATGCATTTTCTCTGTGAAAAGGGACATCAGGAAAGCCAACGTCTGCTTCATAACGTGAAGCTGTTCGACGCTTGTCCTACCTGCCACTTACAATAGCAAGTATATGATCCAAGGCTGAAAGGCACAAGTCTGTAAATAGCTACTGTCCGAATATTTCATCACAGGACGAACACCGGGGATCGGAGAAAGTTCTCCAGCTCCGTTAGGTGCGTTTCGATCCTCATCGTCTGGCAAGGATATCTAATATCACGTAATTATCACATAGGGAGAGATCCAATTGAAATCATCAATCCTTTATCCTTCTATCCCCCAGATCATAACTGTGAATCGTAACAGTGAAATAAAAAATACCCCAGGCGCATCGCAAAGCTGAGGGAAAGACCCGTAGAATGATTTCGGGTCGGACGTCAGGATTGCTTTTTTGAATGCCTCAAGGAGTATCGCATCTGAGTTTTTCAGATATTGAATCCCGGCGTACCCATCCGTATTCACTAGTCGCTGCCTTTGCCTTTGCGGCACTGTCGCTCTTATTTTGGCCCTCATCATTACGAGGCGGTCCAAAGTCTCTCCCTGCGACAGGCAACCCCTCCATATAAATATCAGTCCTTTGTTGGCATATACAGTCTGGAAGAATATATACGGTGGGTCTACATATACCGGTGATCAGAGAATCGACCCGACATTTTTCAGGTGACCTGATCCGTGTTCTATTGATGGGTACTGGAATTTGTATGCTCCTTTCTAATCTGAGCTGCAGCTCATGTCTTTTCGCAGCTATGTCGTGGAGCGGAACATGATTGTGTTGCGCTATGAATCAGTACCAGGATCTCATAAATGATAAGTTTTCCATCGTGTATTGAAGCAGATTCCTCACTTCGCCAGCGTGATATCCACTTGCGCAGAATCCGGACCCCTCAAGGTTTCGAGGCACATATTCACGTTCGGGGGCTAGTAATCACGTATGGCATATGCTGATGCCTGAGCAGCTTTATCGCAGTAAATATTATGGGGTCACGTTTGGATACGAAATGCAGTCGGCAGAGAATAATTGTTTCTGCTGTCGCGCAATCGGTCAAAACCCTTACGTACGGGTAAACTCCTCAGAGAGCGGCCATTCTCTCAGCATTTCCTTTTCATGAGTTGACATTGATTCTCTCAAGTGTAGGCTGGGGGGTTCTTCAGTTGGGCTTATCGCCGCCTGGTTTCGTGGCGCAAGCGTTATGCATTGATGCATTGTACTCAGGAAAGTCGATTTAAAAGGTGCTTGATGTACCTTTCGAATTTACCAGATTGAAGATCGTGACTACTCTCACAATTTATTTTGCAGGTAAAAAAAAACATTGGAACTGATTTGATTTAGGAAGCGTGGACTACTCCACAATCTATGGTGCCTGACTGCTTGGCGCAAATAGGCGAGAAAGATGACCTTGAACCACGGAGTTCGCAATCAATACGGCTGCGGCGACGGCCTCAGGCTACATCGGTGAGCGCTATCAAACTCTTTCTTCCACTGCCTCAATATTTTACCTGTTCCACTTATAGCCGCTCCATCCAGAAGTTCAGGCCAAGCCCAGTCCGAAATTGACACTGTTGTAGTAAGTTCGACAAGGCAAAGACAGACTTTCATTGCATTATGATGAAGCTATCCTTGGAGACATGCTAAGCTGGAACCCCGTAATACCACTATCACAGGTATGTATCATCACATCAAGAGTTTTTCTTTTGGCTTCAGAGTGTGGTCCTTTGGGGTCATAGACCCTATGTTGGACATTGTCTCGTCATCAGCTGTCTATCGTACATCAAGAGTTGATGATTTATTACTCTGGTCATGCAGGGATCCCTCATACTACTTTAAGTGAGGATGGCTACTTGATACCAAAGGGTTTGTACTTGCAATTCGACCGCATTCAGGGATGGATCTCACTGACTCTGGCAGGAACATAGGTGATCATCATTTACTGGTGTGTGGTTTCTCCTTTTCGCTCTAAATGCAAACACGCCTCCTTGCAGGGAGATAAGGAGAGATATTTGACCCAGATAAATTCTGACCCGGGAGGTACTTTGGCTTAGACGTGGTCACTGGATTTGGATCCAAACAGGAACGAACCTATATTCGGTTTTGGGCGATGTAACGGATGCTCCCAATGAGAGACGAAGAACGAGGTGTTAACTTTGGACAGGTCCTGTATGGTATGTTGTGAGCTGCTACCTCGCAACGTTTTGTACAGAGAAGGCGAAAAGTGTCGACAACCGCGAGATTGAAGCTTACAACCGGGATACTAGCGATGTTCGTCAATTATGTTGACCTTTCTGGTTTTGCGAGCTCATCCACATACAGATGCCTCATCCATTTCCGTTGCGCATTTGTATGTCGCTCTGTGCAAAAGGAAAAGTTGGTCAGAGAAGGCACTTGACCAACCCCTGACTGACAAGCTCGATATTTTTTATTTCACATAGCACTCTGCAATGCGAAATGAATGGCAACTCCCTTTGCTTCTAAACCCGACACCAGACAAAATAGGTACGGTCAAAAATGAGTACCACGACGATGCGTCTCGCAATGAGACAAGTCTACTATATTCAATCTCATAACTACGATTCTGGATACCTATCAATGATGACCGATAATCCGCAGTCACAACGGACCGTGCCGCATTAGCGTTGCTGTCTGCAATCAGCTGCAATCGTTCCACTAAACCTCTCGCATATGCCAACTTCGTCTGAGATAGCAACGCTCGGTTCGATACCGAGAACGTGCTGGAACGCGGGCCTGGATCTTGTACCAAAGAAGAAAGCTTTTTGCCCACGTGGAAATAGTAGTAGCATCTCTTCGCCGCAGCGCGTATCAGGTATATCGGAGCTAAGCTTAAAGCATTTTGCCTAAGAATATCAACCAGTACGGGTGATGCAAAAGCAATACAGCGAGGAGGACTCGGGCTTACTATCCGTATTCATCTTAGCTTCAAACACTGCCGACGTTAACGGTCATCGTCGCCGAGGTCTGTCTAAATTAACCAGCAGGACATTTGTAAGAGATAGACGGTGTCTGCAGTAAGTGTATGGACTTTTGCGATGTCATCGTCCTGGTGTGCTGGATGATCAGGACTCGCTTTGGTACCTGCGAGTAATCTGGTGCACTATATAGCAATCATTAATGAGATAATGAAACCACAAAAACTACAAAATAGCAACTGACAAGGGGGCTCTCGCGGTAAGACCGCACTGTGTGCATAGATGCCTCGAGTTCCTCTGAATCCCAGGTCCCCGGCATGTGCGCTTATATGCGATATTCATTATATCGACCGTCGGATGGTAAACGCCATTTGTGTGGAGGGTCTGATGCCTTTTCGCTTATTTGATGACTGCGTCAGACGTAATGAGTGTGCACCATAAACGAAGTTAGCAACCGACAATATTCTCATGCCCTCAAGACAGACACCTCGATAGCATCTATCTTTGCGGAGGATTAAATTTCATCGTCACTTTCTTTCGGACTGCCGCGCTGTATGCCACATCGCCTTAGGCCATATACTTCCGCCGTATCGGGCCCAGGAAGGCCAGAGCTGCGTAACAGCAATTGTACGAGTACCTGATTGATGAATCAATTGGTGCGTGTAATCGGTTGTAGTGGGAAATCACCCTAGTTGTCCAGGTTCGAACCTGAGTAAGATAATACCACTACTAATATCATGGTCCAGGTCGGGGAACTGGTATCGACCTGAGCGCTTTCAGAGTTTTCTCAGGCTACAATTGGAAGTCCGCGGCCCTGTGCTATTGAATCGATGTCCTTTCTCTGGTCTTTTTCTGACGAACATTACCTGAAACTTGCTAAAGCAACACCTAGCATCTTGGCTGTACAATACTGACAAACTCCATTTGGTTCATTCCCGCCAGTCACAGTCTGTCATAGAAGGCGCCAGGCAATATCAACTTGAAATAAAAGGTCAATCCGAATTTAATCTCACATGCGTCAGGCTGGACGAGAAGTTGGCACCATAGAAGTTCCTCAGTGATGAATGTGGTATTCTCGTCACTCCTTGGATCATATGCACATCTTTCTAGCGGCATGGTCACACTCATTCGTCGAACCACTGCTGTTCCCCTAGTATTTTACCGAGACACCATCTAAACTTGGAAGCCTGGGGATCTCCAGGAGATAAGCTCAGGGACGAGCACCAAGAAGGTATGCAGAATCCTCAGATCTGGGTAGTTGGTTTACTTATCAAATGTCCCTTCACACGCTAGGACACCACCAGGCTGCCCGATCATCAATCTACTCCACAACACGATTAGTACAAAAGCCGAGCTTGACCATATCGTTCGAAATAAGTCTTGCAATTCAGAAAATACTTTTCGGCATCGAGTCTGTTGAGTCTCAGAAATGAAGGGGCTTCGTTGATATGGTTCCTGGTGGCCAGCATGAAAACATGAGGTCACCACCATGAAGATTAATGGTGGCGGCAGATGATATCAATGCCTTCAGGACTTATCGCAGTGGAAGATATGCTTGTGTATCACTATCAGATATCGCATGGGTTTTTTGATCACCGATGTCTTCTTTCCCAGTAAGTGTGGTTTAGGCACCAGTTCTGAGCTCAAATTGTGGTTTGAATACAGAATCCCTAGCTGAGGTTGAGACGGAAATGAAGAGGGAAGGTAAGAGTGGCGGACGCGAGTTATTGATCCCTTTTGCCACCACTAACAAGGAACGCAGGTGCGAGATCGCGAAGAATGATAT